ATATATATTGTATATATGGGCACACTCACGTCTAGCTGTCCCATTAAGGTCTGAATCGCATACTCTGTCTAGAAACATTGTTTTAGGAACCTTTGGGGCTCCATCTATCGGGAAAGTAGTGAGAAGAGTGTAATTGTACGGCGGGTTTCTGTGTCCCCCTAACTGAGCAGTGATTGTGATGCATGTCCGAGACGTGTACAATACATCAATTTAAAGCAGCGTACACGGACATGCCGTAACGTTGCCACGGCTACGTATGCTAGTTTCATGTGTAAAGTGTTCTAATCGGTGGAAATTCATTGCTCACCTTCGTAGAGTAAAACGGATTCAGACCATTCCCTGCATTCTGATTGGGGCTCCAGCCTAATCTGAATATGGTTGTACTAGCCTTCTCGACTGAGTTTGTTAACCGGCAGTAGATACCCCGTGGCGCGCTCTGTGTTCTAAAAATAGAATATGGGGCGTGTGAATATTTCGGTTTTGTGAGGCGTTGCGATATGAAATGATGTTATAGAACCAATCTTACAAAACACGAACAGTCCCCGGCTACTACGGAGAGTACTTAACAGCGGCTACAACATGAATAGAAGGCACAGGTCAACGCATGCCACCGATCTCACAGCGCAGGCGCTAACCTATTTGCAGCTGTCCAAGCGATACATACCCCACATAAAAACCAGGCCACTTCGCTGACTCAAACACCACACTGTCGCCCATGCTCACCGGTCCACTTTTATCCGGAGTGGGTCCCTTGATGCAGAAGACGTTGTCTCCTCGGCACGATTTCCCAATGTCGGGTCTGATGACACGTGTCAATATACGACATGACAGGCAGCAGCGAAATAAATAAACAAATTAATAAAATATACCAACTGAGGAGTGAGAAGTGATGTATTTGGCCACCACAGGTTTCGGTCCAAGTTCCCGTTTGCATGTGATATTGAAAGCGTTACACTCCGAGGCGCTGCGCGAAGCAAACACGTTACCCTAGTGAGCAACAACAACAACAACTAAGCAGGTCAGGCACCCAGGTGAGCAACAACAACAACAACTAAGCAGGTCAGGCAGCCCACATGGAGAGTGGTTCGATTTGGAGAAGCTGTATAGAGCGTGGATCAGCCATTAACGCCACATGCCTGTGATTCCAGCGCATACCATTTGGCAATAGCACAGCAACACATGGCGCTGTATCGAGCACTTACTTTGTCTGCGAGAATTGACACCAGCCAACTATCGATGTTGCACGCAGGAAGTGGCCCTCTCCGATGGATGCAAACACAAACACCCTGCAAACAATACCAAATATGTTGTTTTTAGATATGTCATAAGATCCTGCAAAGATACCTTTTGATTTGGTGCTAGATAGTTGATAATGAATTCAAAAGAACCTCCCCACATGCGTATCAGATGAGGCATGTTATATGTCACAACACACTGCAACGATACCAGATGATTCCGAGAGTATATATATATATATATATATATATGTGTGTGTGTGTATGTATAT